GCTGGATGAACACAGCAGGCCAAGCAGCATCATAGGAGCAGAGAGGCTGACGTTTCGGGCCTAGACCCTTCATCAGAAAAGGGGGAGGGGAAGGGGGTTTTGAAATAAATAGGGAGAGAGTGGGAGGCGGATAGAAGAGGGATAGAGGAGAGGATAGGTGGAGAGGAAACAAACAGGTCGAAGAGGCGGGGATGGAGCCAGGAAAGGTGAGTGTAGGTAGGGAGTTAGGAAGGGGATAGGTCAGTCCAGGGAGGACGGACAGGTCAAGGGGGCGGGATGAGGTTGGTCGGTAGGAGATGGAGGTGCGGCTTGAGGTGGGAGGAGGGGATAGGTGGGAGGAAGAACAGGTTAGGGAGGCAGGGACGAGCTGGACTGGCCCTAAACCCCACCTCTTCCTCCGTTACATTGATGACTGTATCGGCGCCGCCTCGTGCTCCCACGAGGAGCTCGAACAGTTCATACACTTCACTAACACCTTCCACCCCAACCTTAAGTTTACCTGGACCATCTCTAACACCTCTCTCCCCTTCCTGGACCTCTCTGTCTCCATATCGGGCAACCACCTAGAAACCGATATTCATTTCAAGTCTTGTATACTAGTTTGTTGTCTTATGATGAAAGATTTGTCAGACTGGACATGTTTTGCACTCGAGTTTAAAAGAATGACAGTTGATTTGATTGAAGTTTACAAGATACTGAATCATCTTGACAAAGTGAATGTAGAAAGGATATTTCTTTTTGTGGACGAGTCCAGAACTAGGGGACACTTAATGTTAGCAGTTGCTGTTTTAGTACAGAGATGAGGGGAAATCTTTTCCCTCAAAGATGTGTATGTGGGAACAGTACCTCAGAAGGTGGCAGAGGTTAAAGTTTTGAATATATTTAATGCACAATAGATTGATTCCTTTGCCCACCAATAATCTAAGGTTATCAGGGATAGATGGGAATGTGGAATTTGAAACACAAACAGATCAGCTATGATCTTACTGAATAGTGGAGCAGGCTTGAATGGTCCAATAGCCTACTCCTGCTCCTCATTCACACGTTTGTAAAATTATGAATTTATTGAAGCAGAAGCCCAGGCAAGAGAGAGTCATGTGTGAATACACTTTTTTACAAATATAATGTTGAATCTTGTCCAATGGAATATTCAAGGTATAACAATACTATGGTTCGAAACAACAGTTTAATATACTGAATTTCCCCCCTAAACTTTGGTCAAATATTTCGAAATTGCTTTCAAACCTACCAGACTCCTGCCGCCTATGACAAGGCCTAAAAGACATTACAGGATACAAAATGAAACAGACTAAGATAGCAGACAAAGACACATCCCTCCCTGACGCGCTTAATGCTTTCTATTCTCGGTTTGAGCAGAATGCCAGTGGCCGCGGTGCCATGTGCCCTGACAGCCCCAGACACACCTGTTCTCTTGGTCACTGCTGCAGATGTCAGATTGCTCTTCCTGGGAGTCAACCCAAGGAAAGTGAAGGGCCCGGATGGTGTCCCTGACCGAGCACTCAGATCCTGTGCGGACCAACGAGCAGAGAGATATTCACCAACATCTTCAACCTCTCCCTCCTACAAGCAGAAAACCACCATCATCCCTGTACCTAAGAAAGCGCATGTAAACGTGCCTTAATGACTACTGCCCAGTGGCTCTGACCTCAATAATTGTGAAGTGTTTTGAGAGGCTGTTCATGGCCCACATCAACTCGTCTCCCAACCTGCCTCGACCCCCTACGATTTGCCTATGACTTAACAGGTCCACAGAGGATGCCATTTCCCTAGCCCTGTGCTCATCCCTGGAACATCTAGACATCAAAGATACCTACATCAGACTCCTGCTCTGTGACCTCAGCTGTCTTCAACACCATTATCCCCTCCAGACTGATCTCAAAACTACATGACCTTGGTCTCAGCTCCACCCTCTGCAACTGGGTCCCCAGCTTCCTGACCCACAGACCACAATCAGTGACAATAGGTAACCACACCTCCTTCACAATAACACTCAACACTGGGGCCCCCTAAGTATGCGTCCTCAGCCCCCTACAGTATTCCTTGTCGACCTACAACTGTGTTGCCAAATTCCGAACGAATGCCATCTACAAGTTCGCTGATGACACCACCGTAGTGGGACGGATATCTAAGAACGACGAGTCAAAATACAGAAGGGAGATAGAGAGTTTGGTGATGTGGAGCAATGAAAACAACCTCTCTCTCAATGTTAGCAAAACTAAAGAACTCATCATTGACTTCAGAAAGAAAGGAGGAGAACACACCCCTTTCTACATCAACGAAAATGACGTTGAGAGAGTGAAGAGCATCAACTTCCTTGCAGTGACGATAACTGCCAAATTGTCCTGGACTTGCCACGTAGATGCGACAGTTAGGAAGGCACAAGTCCTCCTCTTCTTCCTCAGGCAGCTCAGGAAATTCGGTATGTCCATAAGGATCCTCACCAACTTCTACAGATGCACAATTAAAAGCATACTGTCCAGGTGTATAATGGCCTGGTACAGCAACTGCTCTGCCCAGGACAATAAGAAACTACAGAAGAAGGTGTACACAGCCCAGACCATCATCAACCCAGACCAGCCAAGCCAACCTTCCATCCATGGATTCGATTTACACGGCTCGCTGCCACATAAAGGCAGTCAATATCATCAAAGACCCATTGCACCCCTACAGCCTCTTCCATCAGGCAGGAGATATAGAAGCCTGAACACACGCAACAGCAGGTTGAGGAACAGCTTCTTCCTGGCAGTTATCAGACTGCTGAATGGATTCTCCAGCCTCAAATAATGCTGATCTTGTTAACTTTGATCTCGCATAGCACATGCGCTATGCAATGTAACCTGTATGCCTTTGTCTAAGTCTTTTTGATCTGTACATCCTTTGCTTACTATGATCTGCCTGTAACGCTCGTAAACAAAGCTTTTCACTGTATTTCGGTACAGGTGACAATAAATAAATCAAATCAAATTATTTTCTATGTTCATATATGTTATAACCATCCATTTTCTAGTTGTATAGAGTCAGAGTCATACAGCATGGAAACAAACCCTTTAGCCCAACTCATCCATGCTGATCAGGTTTCCTAAACTGAAACTAGTCCCATTTGCCTGCATTTGGCCCATATCTCTCTAAACCTTTCCCATCCATGTACCTGTGCAAATGTCTTTTAAATATAGTAATCGAATAGAGAAATTGCAATATTTTTTGGAATAAATCACAATGCATACGGACACAAGTCTTTTTTTAATACAGCAGAGTAATAGCAGTCTACAGACAGTGAAAAATACAGTGAGATTTCCTCACCATCCAGTTAGTCAACATTTCCACTTGTACACAATGAAAAGACTCAGTTCTCAATCCCAGTCTTAAACAGCATTACAGTAACAGTGAGTGATAGGCAGGCAGAACATTTATAAGGCCTAGATCTTTCTAGAATCAAGTCACTTGTCAATTGCAAGTTCCTCTGTTTATGAAATACTGTTACTACAACCAGGGACACATTAAACCATTGAGTAACTTACATCAGTTCATTAACATTTTTGTAATTTCAAAACTTTCCGTCCCCTGAGTAACGTGCGTACCGGAGCAAAACTGTTGATAACATTGTCCAATGTAATCAAATTAGAAGATTCACATTTAGTTTATCACATTACTCAATGTCAGACAACTCAGTTATTTAATTTTACTGTTAAAATAAAACAGAAATTGCCACATTATAGAATTATACTACTATCTAAGTAAGGGGACTTAAATCCCACGATCTTAAGTTTAGAAACACAGGACAAGGCTCTAAATCACAAATAAAATCATTTGCTGAGCAACAACCTGAAAATTCAGAAATAAATAAATAATCCAACATAACCAGCAACAGTTCAGGTGAGCTGCTTAGTCAGACAGAAAGACCTCATGTCTGTGCCAGTTGGACAAGGTATCAGCCGGCAACCAGTGCCTATGGAATCATAACGCAGCAAAGAGTCAACAGCTTCAGGAAGCGGGGAAACCTGGTGCAATAAACATTCACGGCTGTTGGACAAGCCACGTAAGGTTATACAGAATTCAGGAACCATATTATTTTTGATTTTATTACTATTAGATCATGCCTCAGAATTTTTTTAAAAAAAATACACTTTAACACCAAACATGGTAGTATTTTCAGGTGACATCTGCATCCAGGTGATAGGTTCTTATTCAGTGGTTCTCACCTCCCAGATAATGGTCCATTGATAAATATATCATAGGCATCATCTAATAGGATGAAATCTTATTTACCCTGTTAAGAGCAGATACAAATACCATCATATGACAAAAAAATGACCAGTAGATAAAGAGATGCTGAGATGCTACAAGACAATTTCATTTGTCCATTATCTTGTTTCCAAGATTTTCTTTAAAAATGTATGAATTTTTACAACTTATTTTGTTTCTCTTGCATCTGATCTACAACTGAGGTATTTGGATTTTTTTTTTTAAAAAGTATACCAGAAGATCTCAAACAACATCTTAGTGTAGCGGCATCACAGGTTTGAAGAAGCTTTTAAATAAAAAGACCTTGCAGATACTGCACCTTTCATTCATAATTAACAAATGACCCTGAGCAGAAATGAACTCAAGTCCTTTGCTGCTGGTGTTCTGTGGGGTCTGATATAAAAGAGAATTTAAAAAGTGCTAACAATATTTTACATATCTGAAAATAACAGTGCTGTAAAATCTCGGCAAATTAAAAATATAATTAGTGCAACAAAAATATGGCTATTAACAGGCAAAAGCCATGAACACTTTTTCCTTCCTGACCTTCTGCTACCTTAAACAAAGCACATTCAGAATCTGCCCAGGTGATGTAAATGGGTTCTGTGCTTTGTTAAACTGCACTGATATTACAGTCAGGTGTCAGTTGAACCGCAATCAAACTGGTGGAAAAAAAGCAAGGCCACTGGATGATCCTTGGAATCCCTAAGCCTGCTCCTGTTTAACTACCTATAATAAAGAAGCAACAGCTTCAATGCATCTTATTTATCAGTGAAACTGCCCCTATGCGTCCAAAGACATTCTACATGCTTAGGTTTAAGGCGGCCTTCATGAGCTCAGGCCAACCACTATTTCCTTTGCCATGTAGTTACAGCATAAAGTGCAGGAACAGATTATGTTCAATCACTTGTGCACTGAAGAGGACTTCTATTTGGCAAAGATCACTGTGGAATAGCGTCTTTCAATGATGCTAATGCAGTATGAATACGCACATGAAGACGGTTTTCAAAATCATAACCAGCAAACTCTTCCTGCAGAGAAGAAAACGAGAATTAACTGACAAGGATAACATGAATTTTCTGAATCACCAACATCTGCTAAAGACAGCTTAAATTCAATCATATATTGATATTAATGTAAAGTCACCTAAGCTGCATCCACAAACACAGAATTAAATAATTAGAAGTAAACACTGAATATTCAAAAATAACTTGCTTGCCTCTGTTTTGCATGGTATAAATTTAAAAGTTACTTCAAGATTTCAAAAATTGTCTTCTCAAATCTCATTCTGAAACTGTCTAGTTGGCAAGTTAAATATATGAATACCAGCAAGAACCAATTGTCTGGTGATTTTGGAAGCCAGAAGGAACTCAATCTAACATGGGTCCCCAGAAATACCTAGATTAAAAATGTTCAAGTGAAAGGTTTAGCTCCTGAGTCTGACACACAGTTGAACAGGATGTGATTTACTGGAAGGTATACAGAGGAGATTCACCAGGATGTTGCCTGCGCATCTTAACTACGAATAGAGGCTGGATAAGCTCAGATTGTTTTCTTTAGAACAGAGAAGGGGACCTAACAGAGGTGTGTAAGATATGAGGGGCATGGACAGGGTGAATAGAAACAGAAATTGCTGGAAAAACTTAGGAGGTCTGGCAGCATCTGTGGAAAGAAAGCAGAGTTAATGTTTCAGGTTCAGTGACCCATCTTCAGAACTGATTGTGGCTAGGAAATGCTTGGTATATATACGGAAAGGTTTAGAGTTAGAGTTAGTTGAAGGGTCAATAATAAAAGGGGCATAATTTTAAAGGTGAAAGGCAAGGGGTTTAGAGGGGATTTCAGAGGGTGATGGGAATCTGGAATGCAGTGATTGGAGGGTAGTAGAGGTGAGAAACTTCAAAAAAGTAATTGGACGAGCGCTTGATTTGTCATAACATTCAAGGCTTTGGGCCTAGTGAGGGTAAGTGGGACGAGTGCAGATTTACAGTGGCTTTTGTCAGTGCAGACTCTAAGGGCCGAATGACCGATTCTATACTGAATAATTCCATGATTCTAATAACTTGTGTGTGGAGGACTGGATCCTGCAATGTACACCACTGGAAGACAATAACCTTACAGCTGGTAAGGAATAGATCTGAATGATCTTTAATTCACAGAACTGTACAGAAAAGAAGATGGCCATTTGGCCCAGCAAGTTTACACAGATCTTCTCAAAAATTATCCAGTACTCCTACTCCATGTTCTTTCCTATATATTTCCCAAATTTCCTTTCCCATCTATTCTCATGCCAACTGAGTCTGCCTGTTCAAGACAATCCATCTCTTGATCCCTCAATCCTATTTCTACTGATCTGACAATCCAACTTACCCTCCTGATGCCCACGTTAACCAATATTGTAAATGGTTTGCTCTCTCCCTTTCCTTTAAGTCTGTAGTTATCAAACTCTCCTCAAAAAATCCCCTTGGTTTCTTCCTCGGTCCTTGCAAATCCCCAACCTCCCTTTCCTTTTTGAGGGTCTTGACCGTGTTTTCACTTCCAAAATCTTTTTTTTAAACTTCTTTTCCAGAATTCAATGGATAAATCCCTCCAATCAGAATTCTTCCCCTATCACAGTACCAAAGCGATGCTAAATGAAGTTGTAAAGGGCAAGTAACATTTGCGCCACGCAAGACCCTGCAATGTTGATTTCCAATAACAGAACCAGCTTTGACAGTTGGACACAAGGTAGCATCGTGGCTTCATCAGTGTCTGGAGTAGTGCTGGAGTGAGACTGTGCAGCAAGGCACTAACGGGGTAACAGAGCATGGCAGTGGCTGGGGCCCAGCATGGGCCTGGGGCGGCAGAAGATGGCTGACAACAGTCAGTGGTGATGGCCTTGCAAGTGGCGGTGAGAGCAGGCATGCCCAATGGAGAGCAGCAATAGTTAGTGGCAAGGGCAGCTGGCGAACACAGGCGGGTCTTAGTCCGCCCTAGTGCAGGGGAGAGTGAGTCCTCTTGGGAAAAGCCCAGTTTGGAGCATCTGCAGGTCCATGGCTTAAGAAAGGACTGTAGTGTTTGACTTTTTAAATTTTCTTTATTTTCCACTTTTATACTAAGAAGACTGTAGTGATGAACTTTTTAATTTATTTCCTTATTTTTCTACTTCTATAACTAAGATTTTGTACCAAGATACTTTGTACCATAGATGGCGCTGTGTGTCGACACTACACTTTTCACTGTACTCTTGTACTCAGTACTCGAGTACATGTGACAATAAAACTGAAATCTAAATCTGAATCTAAAACCTATCACCCCCTTATGTTAAATGTCCTTAACGATTGCTGGATCCCCAACTATCAATGTCCTCGGGGATACCATTGACCAGAAACTAAACCAGTCACCATATAAATACTGTGGCTACCAGGCGTGAGGAATTCTGCAGCAAGTAGTTGACCTCTCAACTGTCCAAAGCCTATCTATTCTCTACAAGGCACATCAGGAAAGTGATGGAATATTCTCCACTGGTCTTGATGGCCTTAGCTACAATAACATTTAAGCAGCTCAGTAACATCAGGAGAAAGCCATTGGTACTCTATCCACGGCCTCCAATTTTCACTCCCTCAAACATCAAACTCACCCTGGAAACAGTGTGCACTATTTAGAAGAGGCACTTACAGCAACACTTCCGCCAATGGCACCTTCCAAACATGCAATATCTGCCATCAAGAACAACAAGCATAGCAGATACATAAGAACACCTCCACTTGTAAATTCCCTTCCAAGCCACACACCATCCTGACATAGAACTGTATCATTATTCCTTCAGTGTCACTGGGCCAAAATCCTGGAACTCCCTGGCACGGTGGCTCAGTGGTTAGCACTGCTGCCTCACAGTGCCAGGGGCCCAGGTTCAATTCCACCCTCGGGCAACTGTCTGTGTGGAGTTTGCATATTCTCCTTGTGTCTGCGTGGGTTTCCTCTGCGCGCTCCGGTTTCCTCCCACAGTCCAAAAGATGTACAAACTAGGTGAATTGGCTATGCTAAATTGCCATCGTGTTCAGGGATGTGTAGATTGGTGGGTTATTGGGGGAAGGGTATGGGTGGGATGCTCTGAGGGTCGGTGTGGGCTTGTTGGGCTGAAGGACCTGTTTCCACACTGTAGGGATTCTATTCTATAAAAGAATAGTTCTGTGGTGTCCCTCACCCCAAGAACTGCAGAGGTTCAATAAGGCAGCTCATCACCAACTCTTCAAAGGCAGTAAATGCTGGCTTAGCCAGCAATCACCACATCCCATGAATTAATTAAAAAAGGTATCCTCTCTGAGCGTGACAAAGCTAAATATTCCCTCCTTGGCCTTCTTGATCTCTCTGCAGTCTATGACCTACACTGCCTCTAAACTGTGCGGCCGTGCCACAGGGAAACCTTGCACGTCAATCATGCTCCCAGAATCCCCACAGTCTGCACAGGAGGAAGAAAAATCAGAGGGAGCATTGCCTGATGAATAAAGGGGATGTAATGTATTTAGATTTTCAGGAGGAGGTGTTTGATAGGGTACCAAACATTAGGTTACTTAAGATAAGAGCCCATAGATGTCATGTATTAACATGGATAGAGAATTGACTAACTAACAGAAGACAGAGAGTTGGGGTAATAGGGACATTTTCAGGATGGCAACCTGTAACAAGTGCAGTGCCACAGTGATCAATGCTAGGGCCATAATTATTTACTATATATATACTAATGACTTGAATGAGGAAAGTTAATGTACTATCACCTAGTTTGTGGCTGAAACAAAAGTAGGTGGGAAGGCAAGTGGTAAGGATGACAGAGTCTGAAGAGGGATATGGACTGGTTAAATATGTGGACAAAGAATTGATAGATGGAACATAATGTGGGAAGACGCAAGGTTATGCATTTTGGCAGGAAGGGCAGAGTAGCTGTAAATTAGTTAAAAAAAGAAAAGGTTATAGAAAACTACAAAACAAAGGAATTTGGGAGTCCTCATGCATGAAATTGGCGTATGAAGAGGAGTTGAATCAGTTAGCATTATATTTGCTGGAATTCAGAAAAATGAAGGTGTGGTGGGGGTCTCATAGAACATTATAACATTCTAACAGGAGTAGCCAGGGTAAATACAGGAAGGATGTTCCCAATGACCAGGGAGTCCAGAATCAGGGTCCCAGACTAAGGTTATACGCTAAGCAATTTAGGACTGAAAGGAGGAGAAATGTCTTCAGCCAGAGAGTAGCAAGCCAGTGGAATTCTCTACCACAGCTAGGTGTTGATATCAAAACATAAAATATTTTCAAGAAGGACTTAGATATGGTTCCTAAGGCTAAAGGTATCAATAGGAGAAAGTGGGAACAGGGGACTGAGTTCTATAATCAGCCATGATCCAAATGAATGGCAGAACAGGGATGATGGACCAAAGAGCCCCTTACTCCTATTTTTTATGATTTTTCCCTATGGCATGCCACTTCTTCTTCAATCTTTCTTATGACTATATTTCCCTGGTCTGGACCCCTTGGTCATCAAAAATATCCTTCCTGCATTCACCCGTCTAGCCTTGTTAGAATTTTATAGGTATCTATTAGAACATCCCCACTCATTCTTGTGAATTATAGCAAAGGAGTCCTAACTGATACAACCTCTCCTTATACTTCTGTTCTCTTATCCGAGGAATCGGTTTGGTAAATCTTTGTTACCCTCCATCCATAACCAGAACATCCTTCCTCAGATAAGGAGGCCAAAACTACACACAGCGCTCCAGGTGTTTTCGTACCAACGCCCTGTATAATCACAGCTAAACGCCCTTGCTCTTGTATTCTAACCCTCTTTCTATGAAGGCCAATGTATTGCTTACCTTCTTCACCATCTACTGCACCTGCATCCTTATCTTCAGCAACTGGTGTAAGAGGACAAATTGGTCTCATTGCACCTCCCCCTTTCCTAGTCTACCACCATTCAGATAATAATCCACCTTCCTATTTTGGCTACCAAATTATACTTCATCTAAAGAGGGATCATTTTTTCCATGGTAAGTCTTTGTTCTTTGAGACAAGAGGAGTCAGTGCTGTGAAATGCTATTTCCAATTTATGGCACCATAAAAGTGTTTTATAATAGGGGCTCATGTGGAGCATAAACACCAGCATGGACTAGTTGGGTCAAATAACCCGCCCTTGTGCCGTATATAATGTAAATAGGCGGTGGTGTAGTGGACGAGTAATCCACAGACCCAGGCTAATGTTTTAGCGACATGAGTTGATTCCCACCATAGCCGATGGTGAAATGTGAATTCAGTAAAAATCGGAATTAAAAATTTGCCTAATGTCGATTGTTGTCAACAAAGAAAAGGCATCCGGCTCACTAATGTCCTTCAGGGAAGGAAATCAACTATTTCACTTGGCCTGGCTTGTATGAGATTCTATACCTACAGCAATGTTGTTCATTCTTAGGAAACATCTGGGTAACTAGGGATGGGCACTAAATGCGGTCAAGCCAGCAAAGCCCACATCCCATGAATGAATTTTTTAAAAAATACATATTGGGACAAAAATAAAAATTGCTGGAAAAGCTCAGCAGGTCTGGCAGCATCTGTGGAGAGAAATCAGAGTTAACATTTCAGGTCTGTGATCCTTCCCCAGAACTGATGATAGCTCAGATAATGTGAGATAACACGGTGTAGAGCTGGATGAACACAGCAGGCCAAGCAGCATCAGAGGAGCAGGAAAGCTGACGTTTCGGGTTGAGACCCTTCTTCAGAAATGGGGGAGGAGAAGGGGATTCTGAAATAAATAGGGGAGAGAGGGGGAGGCAGATAGAAGATGGATAAAGGAGAAGATAGGTGGAGAGGAGACAGACAGATCAAAGAGGCGGGGTTGGAGCCAGTAAAGGTGAATGTAGGTGGGGAGTTAGGGAGGGGATAGGTCAGTCCAGAGAGGACGGACAGGTCAAGGAGGCGGGATGAGGTTAGTGGGTAGGAGATGGGGGTGGGACTTGAGGTGGAAGGAATGGTTAGGGAGGTGGGGACGAGCTGGGCTGGTTTTGGGATGCGGTCGGGGGAGGGGAGATTTTGAAGCTTGTGAAGTCCACATTGATACCTTTGGGCTGCAGGGTTCCCAAGCGGAATATGAGGTGCTGTTCTTCCAGCTTGCACTGAGCTTCGCTGGAGCACTGCAGCAAGCCAGAGACAGAGACGTTGGCCAGGGAACAGGGTGGTGTGCTGAAGTGGCAGGCAACTGGAAGCTCAGGGTCTTTTTTGCAAACAGAACACAAGTATTCTGAGAAATGGTCACCCATTTTCTCCAACGTAGAGGAGACCATATTGTGAGCAGCGAATGCAGTAGACCGGATTGTGTGAAGTGCAGGTAAAGCACTGCTTCATCTGGAAGGTATGTTTGGCTCCTTGGATACTGAGGAGAAAGAGGAGGTAAACAGATAGGTCTTATACCTCCTGTGGTTGCAGTGGAAGGTGCCGTGAGACTGGGGGGTTTATGGCGGTGGGTGCGGCTGGTGGTGGTGGTGTTGGGAGAGAGGGAAGAGTGGACCAGGGTGTCCCAGAGGGAACAGTCCCTGCAGAAGGCGAACAAGGGAGGGGAGGGGAATATGTATCTGGTGGTGGCATCTCGCTGGAGGTGGCAGAAATGGCAGCCAACAATCTTCTGGATGTGGATGCTGGTGGGATAGTAGGTAAGGACAAGGGGAACCCTATCGCTGTTATGGGAAGGAAGAGAGGTGGTGAGGACTTAAGTGCAGGAGATGGGTCGGTCCCGGCTGAGGGCCCTGTCAACACTGGCCCTGGGGAATCCTCAGTTGAGAAAGAAGGTGGACATTTCAGAGGCTCTCTCTCATCAAAGTTGGCATCATTAGAACAAATGTGACAGAGACAGAGGTACTGGGAGAATGGAATGGTCTCTTTACAGGGAGTAGGGTGCGAAGATTGTACAGAGTTTATAGCGGATATTAGTGTCCAGTCTATCCCCGGAAATTAAAACAGAGATGTCGAGGAAGGGAAGGGAGGAGTCAGAGATAGACCAGGTGAGGGTGAGAGCAGGGTGGAAGTTGGAATTGAAATCGATAAACCTGTCCAATTCCGGAAGAGACAGAGAAGCAGCATCGATGATATCATCAATATATCGGAGAAAGAATTGTGGTGGAGGCTGGAATAGGCCTGGCACAAGTAATGTTCCACGTACTCCACAAAGAGACAGGCATAACTAGGGCCCATGCAGGTACCGATGGCCACCCCGACTTGAAGAAAATGAGAAGAGTTAAAAGAAAAGTTGTTCAGGATGCATATTGGTAACTAAGTTTAAACTGGAAAGGATCAATGCAATCTGTTTCAGCTGAAGTGGGCGGCACAGTGGAGTTAGATATTGTATTTTCACTTCTGACACTTTGCTTCAAATGTCGTGTGACTCAACAGGACAAGTCTCTTACTGTCTTGACTAGAAGGGTCATGCGTGAAATGAATCTGGACAACATAGTTGGTCATTATCTGTTTTTACTACTCATCTATACTGGAGTGCCCTTAACATGGTAGGTATGTAGCCAATCAATCAGTAATACACTTTACAAGGTTGGGTGTTGCTTGCAGTGTTTTCATGCAAGGATTTTGCCAAAGTCAAACATATCTAAACTACAAAGAAATCGGACAGGGGTTTCTAACTTACCTTGGCTTGGTACAGTAAAGTTCTGCCTTTATCCAAAGTCTACCATTAAAAAACACAGTAACCACATTAACAATATATCTTTCACCAAAATAATGTCAATAAAATCACAAATGCAAGTTATCATTTACATTCAATAATACAGCATCTCTAGAGAATAACTTTAAGGTTTTAAAACAGGAACAGGCCTCGACCCTGTTCTATCATTCAATGAGATCACGGCTAATCTGTGGCCTAGCTCCATACATTTGCTTAATCAAAGTTTCAAATTAACAACTAATCCAGCATCCACTGCCATTTTTTCTTCTTTATTCATACATGGGATGAGGACATCACTTTTAGGCCATCATTTATTGCTCATCCCAGTTACCCAGAGGGCAGTTGCGAGTCAACCACATCATTGTGGGTCTGGAGTCATATGTAGTCCAGACCAGGGAAGGATGTTTTTCCCAAAAATTGGTAACAGATTTATGGTTATCATTAGATTCTTAATTCCAGATTATTTTATTGAATTTAAATTCCACCATCTGCCGTGGTGGGATTCAAACCCAGAACATTATCTTGGTCTCTGGATTAACAGTCCAGCAGTAAGGCCACTAGACCATTCCCTCAATTTGTGGAAGATCGTTCCCAACCTCTACTTCCTAAATGGTCTGGCCCTAATTTTTTTAACAATACTCTCTGGTTCTAGAATACCCAACAAGTGGAAACAGTTTATCTTTACCTACTGTATTTTCACATTAATATCTTGAAGACTTCAATCAGATCACCGCTTAATCTTCTAAATTCTAGAGCAAAGAGGCCTAATTTGCATAATCCCTCTTTATAACTTAATCTCTGAAGTCCAGCTATCATTCTTATAAATGTACATTGTACTTCCTCCAAAGCTAATATATCATTCCTAAGGTGTGGTGCCCAGATCTGCTTACAGTACTTCAAGTAGATTCTAACCAGGATTTTGTATAGCTGCAGTGTAAATTCTGTGCCTTTATACTCCAGTCTTCTGGATATAAACGCCAGCATTCCATTAGCTTTCTTGTTTATTTTCTGCACTGTGCATGGTATTTTAAAGATCTATGCGAGGATGTATAGTCCAGGTAAGTCGGTGGGTTTATAGTGGATATTAGCGTCCAGTCTATCCCCGGAAATTGAAACAAGGTGTTGAGGAAGGCAAGGGAGGAGTCAGAGATAGCCCAAGTCACTATACTTAACTTCATACTATCTGGATAGTAGCCTGTTCTATCCTTTCTTGGTCCAAAATGGATAACCTTACACTTGCTTACACTGGTCTCCATCTGCCACAATTTTGCCCATTCACCTAGTCTATCAATATCCCTTTATAACTTTAATGCTATAATCTACACCATCTACAATGCTGATAACTTTATGTCATCAGCAAATTTGGATAAGCCATTATACAATGTACTGCTTCCTTTGCCTCACAAAGTTTACGTGAAATTTTGGTTATGAGTAGGAACAATTAAATCAGACAAGTAAAACTAAATCCTTAAGAATCTGGGTATATATTGTAAATTGAAAACTAAATGCTCAGAAAATCAATATGACTGTTAATCCATGTTTGACAGCATGTGTAGTACTTTCAGCTCTACAAATAGAGTTACAGCTTTGATAACGCCCACTAATTTGTAGTACAATTCTTTGTCAAATAGAGTCTGTAAAATGGATGAGATGTTACATTTAGCTAGTTTTGACTAATGCTGGATTTACATACCTCTGGATTTTCTAATAACTGACATCCAAGTTCATAACAAGCATACGGCTGTATGTATGCACTGTTCTGACGACTCAACTCATCCTTTATGGCTAGCTGAAAGAACTGCAAGAAGAAACCAAGTTACAATGTGGAAACATGTAGCACATATTGGCGTATAAATATGTATTACAAAATATGTCATTATATACTGAATAGGTGTTTTCATATTTATTTCTATACACAGATAACACCATGCAACCATAGCTGGAAGGGGAAAGGAGAAGGACTTAAATGAGATGTCAAAAACTGTGGTAAGTATTACCATTACAGTTTGGTGAAGTTTGGGGTTTTCAAGTGCATTTTTCCTTACAAGCAAGTTACAGGATACAATTATAAGACCAGGCAGCATTAACGTAAGCCAATTTTATTTAGAACAGTAAAGCAGTAATTGAGCTGTAAATATACCTGTGCAATAACAAGTTTCTTTAAAATACTTTTGCAATTCAGATTTATTTTAACAATATGTTATTACAATATAGAGTTGCAAATGTCTTTCATTTGGAAATTTTATACTGTGCTTAATTTTACTGAATGTGTTGATGAGTAGAAAAAAATTCAAATCTTAAAGTGCTTTACAGCACAAGTAGACCTGTTAAAGACAAACTATACGTACACACCTGAATAGCACCATCTGAATTTCCTAGACATTTGTGTATTGCACCAAGGAGTAGGTGTTTTAACCCAATTGTTAATGGCTCATGCATTTCTTGACAAGCTGCATAAAAGAGGACACATTAGATTGTCTATTATAAAACCGGATTCACTGTCCATGTTCCATTCAGAATAAAAATCAATCATTATAGGAAAAAGTAACCGGAAAATGCATACTTTGTGAAGGATTACTATTTTTAGTAAATCTCAAACTTCATTTTGCTTGTATTCATTCCAATAAAATAAACAATATATTCTCAGATTATACTATTGCAAAACTACACACACTCAACATGCAGTATTTGGTTAATGTTGTTACAGATTAAATATTCTCATTCTGGTGGTTTCATGCATAATTAATTCAACAAGAATCAGGAGTTTCAAACTGTTAATGTGCCAAGTTTCCTATGGAACATATTAGTCAGGGCTGCACTCAAATGCCAGGCAAAGCCTATTTACATAAAGCATCAAGATGACCAATAGATTTTAGGCAATGAAGTTATCTCACAATGTACAAGCCAATAAATAACTATTCAGTAAACACAAAGAGTATCACACCCAGTATGCTGTGATGTTAGCGGGAGGCAAGATTGGAGACAAGGAGGTGTACAGTAGGTCTGACCCTACTAGTCCTGGCCAGAATGGAAATAATTGCTTAATTTCCCCCATCAGATCCCCCTGCAGACAACACTGCTGTAACAGGATTCTACTACTATCCTCCAAAGATTATCTTGCTCACAAAATTATCGTACTTAATTAGGAGACTGCTGTCGTTTGCATTTTGAGTGGAGTTTGCTTCAGCTGGTAGAGCTGTTTTGAAATAGACACTGACTGTTTATTCAATAGATTCTCTGTTGCAAGTCTTGTCGGATGTTCTGCCTCTCATCCAACTGGCACAGTGGTGGAACTAAAAATTTCAGATAAGGAGATGAATACAACATTCACTTCTGATGAAGTGGCAAGTTCAAAGTTTTACTATACCCAGAAGGTTAGAAGACAGGTGGATAATTATACTTTTGTTCTAAATCAAACAATTGAATTCAGGGAAACAGGGAAGTATGTTTTTTATTATGTGCAATGCAGATAAAATTATGCTGATTGAACAAAACAAATCTAATAGTGATGTGGCTTTAAGCGGTCATCAAGCAGTTTGCAATTTGTTTCCATCTTGTCACATCAAATGTCTTAGCCTGCTCTTGAAATATTGGAAAAGCACATGTGTTTAGATGACAGAGGTTACTCATTGTTTTGTTAAATTGTTGGCAACCACTCATTAATGAGTATGATTGTCCACCTAGGAAATGCTGGGTCACTGATCATGAGTTCTGTGAGTAGCTGTCTGGCTAATGAGGCTGTTTCTGCTTCTTCAATCACACATTTGACAGGTGTTTCCAGGAGATGAATTGATCCTTGACCTTGAAATCTCTGGCATTTCTTTTCTGGCTCCCTTTCTGCACTTCCTCCTGCCAACAGGCATTCTCAAAGAATTGTGTTCCGTCGTCCAGAAGCTTCATAGAACCCCTACCGTGCAGGAAGAGGCCATTCAGCTCATCGAGTCTGCACCAACTCTCTGAGGAGCATCCCATCCCACCCTATCCCCATAACCATGCATTTTTACCATGGCTAACCCATCTAGTCTGCACATCCCTAGACACTACAGTGAAATTTAGCATGGTCAATCCACCTAACCTGGACATTTTTGGAATGTGGGAGGAAACCGAAGCACTCGGCAGAAACCCACTCAGACACAGGGAGAGCATGCAAACTTCACACAGATGATCGCCCAAGGCTGGAATTGAACCTGGGACCCTGGTGCTGGGAGGCAGATGTGCTAACCATTGTGCCACCATGCTGCTCGTCTGCTTATTAAAATGTGTCGTAGTGAGTAAAGTTGATCTTTACCGGTTAGATATTCCTTGGTTCAATCACTGTGATGCATTAGCCGATCTCAGCCAGGTCAGTAATTAGGCTGTTATTAGCTTCAAAGTCCATGAGCTATGAAGAGAAAGGCTCATCCAAGCCTAGAAGGCGGTTTCTTCTGAATGAAGGTCTCTCACGTATTTGAATCTATGTTACATTTCTTGAGTGAAGGCTTCAAGGATTTTTGAAACACTTCCTTTGTCCTCCTCTCATATGAGTGCCTTCCTTGAGTGGGTGAAGGTGATTTGCTTTGGTATTCGGAACCCAGGCATCATAAGTGGTCGGCCCAGCAGAGTTAGTTTCAGATGATCGTGGACTTGATGCTGGTGCTGTTAGCTACTTCAAGCGCGCTGATGTTAGTACGCCTGTCCTCCCAGCTGAACTGGAGAATCCATCTTAAACAGTATTGATGGTACCTCTCAAATGGCCATGAGGTTGTGTATATACGTGGTCCAAGTTTTGGAGCAATGTAATAGATTAGAAGTATGACTGCCTTATACTTAAGGATCTTGCTATCATAATAGATGCCACAGTCATCAAACACTCTCATCCTTAGGCATCAAAAGGAGGTGCTCGCAGATTGGATGTGATGTTGAATCTCCAAACTGATGTCATCCTCAGGTGAGAGGAAACTTCCCAGGGAGGGGAAACATTGGGAGGATTTCACCATTGACCATATTGGAGGAATGGACTGGAACATTAATGCTAACAGAGGAATCTTCTCAAAGTTAACCATCAGGCAAGACAAGGGTGCTTAAACTACTTATACAAGTGTGAGAAGAATATTGAAAGCAAGGCCCAGGTGGTTCTAGAAGGCAGTTCACCACCACCTTCTCAAGGAGCAACGAAGGATAAGCAATAAATTCAGACCAGCCAGCGAGTGGAAAACATACACAAAAATAGACAAATGGAGAGTATGACACAGAGTTTGCAGAAGAATAAATAAGTTAATTGGGTGGGGAAAAAAACATGGCAGATGGAATATAACATGGGAAAATAAGGTTGTGCACTTTGGCAGGAAGAAAAGAATTATTTAAATGGAGAAAGCTGCAGCACAGGGAGAAGAATTTCTGGATCCTTATGCATGAATCTCAAAGAGCTAGCATACTTCTTCAGCAGGTAACTGGGAAGGCAGATGGGAATGTTGCATTTTATTTCAAAGGGAATGGAGCATAAAAATAGAGAAGCCTTGCTAAAACTATACAAGGCAGACCACGCCAAAAATAGTTAGAACAGTTTGGTTCCCATATCTAAGGGAAGATACACTGATATTGGAGGCAGTCCAGAAAAGGTGCATTAAGTTGATCCCAGATATGAAGAGATTTTCTTATCAGGACAGGTTAAGTAGATTGGGCTTGTACTCGTTGGAGTTTAAGAGAATGAGAGGTGACCTTACTGAAACATAAAATTCTTAGAGAGATTGACAGAGTAGATGTTGAGAGATTTTTTCCCCTTTTAGGAGAGTCATGGACCAAATATAATCTCAGAATATGCTGTCACACATTTAAGACAGAGATGAACAGGAACTTCTTTTCTCAAAGAGTAGTGAATCTATGGAAGTCTTTATGGAAGGGGGCTGTGTAGTCTGGATCATTAAGTATATTCAAAGCCAAGATAGACAGATTTTTAATTGGGAACAAAAACGGAAGTTACTGGAAAAGCTCAGCAGATCTGGTAGCCTCTGTGAAGAAAAAAATCAGAATTAATGTTTCAGGTCCGGTGATCCTTCCTCAGATTTTTAATTAGGAAGGAAATTGAGAGTTATGGGGATATGACAGGAAAGCGGAGTTGAGTATTATAAAATCAGAGCAGACTTGATAGGCTGAATGATCCACTTTGGCTCCAAGTTATATAGTCTTATTTCAGACAAAGAATTCTTATCTACCCTGTCAGGCATTATATTGAGAGGCTGTTTTTCTTGCCCTAGGATTCTAGTACTGGGGTGATAGGACCGAGTTGAGGAGGAATGTCTTCATCCAGCAAGTTGTAAATATTTAGAATTATTTATTCCAGAGAGCTGTGGTTACGAAGTCATCACGTAAATCCAAGACAGAAACTGTTAAGAGTTTTGGACACTAACAAACCAGGGTATACAGGGATAGGGGAGGCAGCCATTGTTTGTGTAGACATTCTGCAACAATCACTTCCAATGACAGGGTAGCTTTAGGGGCTGTAGCATTTACTGCTGCTTCTATTCTTCTGAAAAAGATTTTTATTATCCCTTTTTTGATAGTGGGCAAGAATTAATTTCAATATGGTTTATTGAGAATTTAGCAAACTAGCTGTGAATCATTTAGTCAGCCTGCATAGCAATTTTTACACCATGTTATCTGTGTTAACTCGAATTTTCATATAAAATCACAGAATTATTACCATGCAGGAGATATTAATTCAGCCATTGCCTGTACACTGGCTCCTCAACAAGACTGCAGGGTCAAATGGACTGTTTCTGTGCTTAGACTCTCAACATACTATGCAACAAAACCTGTGTGAAGTTGTAGGTTCAAATAAAAGCAAAGTACTGCAGATACTGGAGATCTGAAATAAAACAGTGTTGGACAAACCCAGCAGGTCTGACAACATATGTAGAGAAAGAAAGAGTTAACATTTCAAGACCCTTATGACTCTGTTACAGAGCTAGAGTTCCGAAATGATAACTTTGGCAGCATCTCTGAAGAGAGAAAAACAGTCTCTTTAGCTTCCCTGTTTTAATTACTGCAATAGTAGGCTACCTTGATTCATTTGCTGCAGGTTCGAAGGGGAGCAATTGGCAAGTGCTTTCCACAAATACAGCACTTCAATGACAGCGAGGACACATAATTCTTTGGTAGGCTTCTCCTTTTGGAATCTTTCAGCCTGCACAGAAATTAACGAACATTTAAAAAAAAACATTAATTTTGCTTCTCTTTCCTTAAAAAAAGACAACAAATCCATAGAAACTGCTGGAACTACTCATCAAGTTTAGCAGTTTCTGGAGAGAAACAGAGTTAACATGTGAGTCAGGTCCGACAAAACAAAAACCACATCAAAATTTTAAACATGGTTTCTCTCTCCACATTGCTGCTTGATCTGCCAAGTATTTCCAGCATTTTCAATTTTTCAGTATCCACAGGATTTGGTTTCTGCAGATCCATACCCTTCACAAATAGGAGCAGATTTTCTCCATCAGTTAGTTAAGCTGATCAGTGTCAAATGGAACTCAATCCAGATGATTGTAAGGTGATAGACTTGGGCAGAACAAACACTGCAAGGGAACACTATAATGAACAGCAAGACCCTGGAAAGCACTGACCATCAGATTGATTTTGGTGTGCAGGATCACTGGTCTCTTAAGATATCAGGACAGGTAGATGGAGTGGTTAAGAAGGCACATGGGATAAAATCATAAATTACTGGAGAAACTCAGCAAATCTGGCAGCATCTCTGGAGATAAAGCAGAGTTAAAGTTTTTAGTCCAGTGACCCTTCTTCAGGGCAGAAGATTTCAGATTTCCAGCATCCACAGTTCTTTGTTTTATTATACGGGATACGTGCCTTAATTAGCTGAGGCATAGAATTTAAGAGCAGGGAGGTTATGTTCGAACTGTATAAAACATTGGTTAGACCACAGCTAAAGTACTGAGTGTAGTTCTGGATTCCACATTATAAGATGGATGTGATAGGGTTCAGGAGAGATTTACCAGGATGTTGCCTGGATTTAAGAGTTTTGGTCATAAAAAGATACTGGATAGACTGGGATTGTTTTCCTTGGAGCAGAGGAGACTGAGAGGGAACATGATTGAGATGTATAAAATTATGAGGGGCATAGACAGAGTAGACATGGAGGAACTTTCCCCTCAATGGAGAGATCATAGAAGTGATGGATGCAGGTACAATTACAATGTTTAAAAAACATCTGCATAAGTTCATGAACAGGAAAAGTTTGGAGGGATATAGGCCAAACACAGGCAGGTGAGACTAGTTTAGTTTGGGAGCACAGTTCGAATTAGATAGACTTAAGGGTCTGTTTCCACGCTGTTTGACTTTAAGACCAGGGCACAGATTTAAGGTAAGGTGCAGGAGGTTTAGAGGGGATGTGAAGAACTTCTTTTCCCACCTAGAGGGTGAGACTCACTGCTTATAAGGGTGGTAGAAGCAGAAGCTCTCATAACATTTAAGAAGTATTTAGATAAGTACTTGAAATACCAAGAAGTACAAGGGTATGGGCCATTGTGCTGGAAAATGGGATTAGAAAAGTTAAGTGGTTTGTTTTGACCAGCATGGACACAATGGGCTGAAAGACCTTTTCCTTTGCTGTTTTTCTCAATGACTCTGACTCTGCCTTAAATGGGAGACCCCTCATTTTAAACAATGCCCTTAGGTGCAATGGGCATCAGGCCCCAATCAGAATATCTGAACCATTAATTTCAAAATTGCTAATCAATTCTTATACAGAAGCATTTATTCATCTCTCCATTTGAGAAATTAAAAAAAAAACTAAACCACGTCAGTCTACCTTTCGGGAGGAAAACTGCTCAATTTGATTATTCTTCCTCCTGAATAACTTCTGGACTTCAATGAATACTTCTTGTGCCTTGTCAGTTTCACCTGTTGCTCCCTGGCATGCTTGATCAAAGAATTACAAAAATCTTGTTTTATGCAACAGGTCAAAATATCAACACACAACTGTGCAGTAAATAAAGTAAAAGTGAAGCAAATGTGAAAAAGACAGTATTAGATTCTGGACCATACTCCAATTAACTTTTATTCGCCATTAAAACTATTTCTCACTAATTACATATAACTAAATTTAACAATTAATGTTTTTAGGAATACAACTTTTATTTTGGGAACCAAACATTTTAAATGCACAATAGAAGAAAAACATTTAGTTTGTGAAACTATAAACAAACCAAAAGTAATTGCAAATTCAAAGGTTGGTCTATGTTTGCTTTAAGAGGTTGTATTGTAATGAATTATAATCTAAACAATGGCCTAGCTATCTCTTTGCATTTAGGGGTCTAAAATATTCATATGATTTTCCAGAAGTAAGGGTAAGTTTTGAACTGGGAAATAGTTGTTTGAATCTCTTTCAGGGCATCCAAGTGTGTCACACTGTTATATGTTTTTTTTGACATGGGTTTTTTTATCTGGGTGATTTCTCACACATACAGGCATTTAGAGTCTGGGTCTAGAGCAGCGGAAGATGACAGACAGAATGTGCCCAAACCTGTAAACCAGTATAAAAAGGCTATCAGGGTATTTTCTGATTTGAGGTCACTAAGTAAGAATGCAGTAAGAGCCATGAATTTATTTATTTGTGGGATGTGGGCATCGCTGGCTGAGCCAGCATTTCTTGCCCATTCCTAGTTGCCCCTTGAGAAGGTGGTGGTGAGCTGTCTTCTTGAACTGCTGCAAATTCCTGCTGTAGGTAGACCCACAATGTCCTTAGGGAGGGAATTCCAGGATTTTGACTCAGCGACAGTGAAGAATCGGCAATACATTTTCAAGTCAAGATGGTGAGTGGCTTGGAGGGAACTTGATGGTGATGGTGTTCCCATATATCTGCTGCTCTGTTCCTTATAAATGGAAGTGGTCATGGGTTTGGAAGGTGCTGTCTGAGGATCTTTGGTGAATTTCTGCACTGCATCTTGTAGATAGTACACACTGCTGCGACTGAGCGGTGGTGATGGAGGGAGTGAATGCTTGTGGATGTGGTGCCAATCAAGCGGGCTGTTTTGTCCTGGATGGTGTCAAGCCTCGAGTGTCATTGAGCCTGCACCCATCCAGGCAAGTGGGGAGTATTCCATCACACTCTGACTTGTGCTTTGTAGATGGTAGACAAGCTTTGGGGAGTCAGATGGTGTGTTACTCGCCTCAGTATTCCTAGCCTCTGTCCTGGTCTTGTAGCCAGTGTTTATGAGGTGAATCCAGTTGAGTTTCTGGTCAATGATAACCCCCAGAATGTTGACAGTAGCAGATCCAGTGATGGTGACACCATTGAATGTCAAGTGGTGGTGGTTAGATTGTCTATTATTGGTGATAGTCATAGCCTGGCATTTGTGTTGTACGAATATTACTCGCCACTTGTCAGCCCAGGCCTGGATGTTGTCCAGATCTTGTTCCATTTGGACATGGACTGCTTCAGTTTCTAAGGAGTCTTGAATGGTGCTGAACACTGTACAATTATTGGCGAACATTCCCACTTCTGACCTTAGGATGGAGGGAAGGTCATTGATGAAGCAGCTGAAGATGGTTCGGCCTAGGATACAACCCTGAGGAACTCCTGCAGAAATACCTTGGAGCTGAGATTACTGACCTCCAACAACCACAACCATCTTCCTATGTAACAGGTATGACTACAAAAGTGGACAGTTTGCCGCTGGATTCCCACTGATTCCAATTTTGCCACAACTCCTTGATGCCACACTTGGTTGAATGCAGCCTTGATATCAAGGGCTGTCACTCTCACCTCACCTCATTTCACAACTGTGAAGTGTTGAAGGAGAATTGGACGGTTCAGCTAGCCAGCGGCTAGTGGATGATCACAAGAAATCCCACACTTCAGCGTGATGCCAACAGCATGGGTTCAATTCCCACACTGGTGGAAGGACTGTCCTCCTCACTCTCACCTCTCACCTGAGGTTTGGTGACCACCACCAGTCCTCTCTCTCTCTCTAATGAAAGTGCAGCCCTGTGGTCTGTTAAGACTATGGCAACTTTACCCTTTTCTGGGGAATAGTGTAGGAGAATTCTTGGGTGTAAATGATAGAACAAAAAATGCTCGATTGAAATTTTCAGATTGAAAGCGCAAGTGCTTACAAAATATAGCATTAAATTAGTTGTAAATTGGTATTACTTGCTATGTTTAACTCTTGTACACCAGAGCTTTTTAAATGTTAAATCTTATTGCAAAATTCTTTTCACAACCAGGAATCTGAATTTCCTTTTTTGAAAGGAATGGTTGCTACCAAGAACATTTCACATTAAGCAAAGATGTACAGTACCATGATCTTCTGGTACTAGACTAACATTATTTATTGCATTCTTTTTACAAAGCAAATTAAAATGTACAGTATTGGAACAAACCTGCAGTCAAGTATGCATAATAACACTGAGACCACCTGGATTCATTTTTAAGCCTTGCAAAAGACTTGTATGCATCCTTGAAATTCATTTCTATCATGCTACACCAACCTGAGAATAAGAACAAAGCTCAGATTAAATACAAACATAAACAAAAAACAGCTAATGACAATTTGATACATTTTAAAGGTGCATCTTCTTCATGTACTTCCATGCATTATAACATCATATGCCACACCTTAAATTCAAATCTACTTTTCCCCTCTCACCTCAAAACTTGACTATATGCAATATTACAGATTTCAATTAATATATTCTTTCCGAATATTACTCTGTTCCTTTAGATATTTCAAATAAACTTTTTCCTTTTCACTTTGCCCATATTGCTGCCATTTTAGGTCCCATTCCCATTCAGTCAGCTGACATCTTTTCTCATATAAATCTGCATCAGAAGCCTGAATTCATGAAGCAAGATGAACATTTATAAAAAAGAAAAAACACAAACATCACAGCACTGAATGGCTTCAATGAACATCAGCTGATAGGAATTTACTGGTAAGTGTTTGGCAGAACTGTGCACAATAGAAGGTAAATCACAGAGAAGATACAAACATTTCTTTCTTTTAGCATAAGTCATAGGCTTTTAACCTTGTGCTCTAATTCCACCAGTGACTTCCACTCTCCCCAAATGCTACTATAGAGATGTTTCAGGTAAATACAAACAATCACCAAAGCCTACCTCCTTTAACTTTTTCAAACATCTAGGTCCACCTAGACTAGAATCTCCAGATGGCCATCTTCAGGCTAATCTCAGTATTCTACACTGGGAGTAGACTTTTCCAATAGCCAAACTCAGACTGCTCAGGTCACTGTCAATAGACCCAAGATTTTACTAGTCTCATAAAAAAAGTCCCGTACAGCTTACTAATACCATCAAGGACCTGAAATAGGAAACTCAGGGCATTCAAAACAAATTACGAAGGAAATTAAGTGAGTAGACTAGATAGGTAGATAGTCTATCATAAAACAGAATTGCAATGCTAGAAATCTAAAACAAACACAGAAATTGCTGGAGAAACTCAGCAGGTCTGGCAGCACCTGTGGAGAGAGAAACAAAGTTAATGTTTTGAGTCCAGCAACCTTCCTTCACAACTGGTATGAAGAGGTTCTGAAGAAGGGCCACTGTATTTGAAACATTAACTCTGATTTCACTCCAGATGTCGACGGACCTGCTGAGTTTCTCCAGCAATTTCTGTGTTTGTTTTAAATAGTCTATCATGTCTGGAGGGGAAAAAAATCTGAAATAATTGCTTGATAGTACAGAGATGACCCATTGCTAAAAGAGAGACAAAAGTCAAAGTTTTTAGTCTGGCACTCATTAGGACCGGGGAACAAGAAATGTGGCTTAGAAAGAGACCAAAGTCAGAACACTGGAGAAACTCAGAAGGTCTAAAGTAAGATCTGAAGAGAGAAACAGAGATAATGTTTTAGATCTGGTATGACTCTTTGCCAGTGCTGAAAAGTCCCAGAGAGGGGGAAGGGAGAGGGCAGAGGGGGAAGGGAGAGGGGGAGATGAGAGAGGATACAGAGAAGAGAGGGGAAGAGAAAGATGCTCTGTCATCCATAATTATACATCAGTTTCCAGTATAATTTTTAGCAACGTTGGGAATATTTAGTAAATGGCGTCCAATAGAGATCAATGGTTCTGCATTCAGAGATTTAAAAGCACGGCCTGATTCAGCACGTTCAGTGTACTGCCACATGAGAAACTGTGCGGACACTATAAATGTCTTCTGCATTACCCATGTAAACATCCTGACCAAACAGAATCTGAGTGTCAGGTTTGTGATTAATCAGCTAATTTAGATTGCCAGTTAATTCTCCAGCTGCCTCTCTATGCCACCCATGGCCCAACCGATTAACACACCCTTCTCATGCTGAATAAATTAGTGTTTTCTTTCAACGCTCTGTTTCTTTTATGCCAGCCCTGATGAGTGCAAGATGAAAAGCTTCAATGACTCCTTTCTTTTCAGCAATGTTTAAAACCCGAAATGTTAAGTGAAAATCCAGATAGAAATCAAGTGGGAAATATTCCTGACTCCAGTGACACACCTACCCTCTGGGTTCCATTGGTGACAAGGCTGACAGATCAAAACAGACTACTCGAGTTATGTAGACCTACCCAGTTTATATTAAATTATTGATTGAGCCATAGCTAGTTAATTTCAAGCTTCCATCTCCAGGAATCTCACTTTTGAGCCATCTAAAATCAGAAAAGACCTCATTGACTTACCTTTCATTATTCCTTCTCCTTTCCTTTCCCTCCCACCAAACCCCAGGAGAATTTCCATTACTTGAACTTCGCTGCGTGAGCACTATAGATATGCATGTTAGGTGCACATATTTACCCTGGATGCATTTAAAAGCAGGCCTGTGCACAATATGATCTCACTTCATCCTGCACAGAGAAACATTATCCAGGTAATAAATCAATCAGGTTAAAAATACCCCTTTTAAAGCCCCATCATAAACCTCAACCCATTGATATAAAACACTTACCTATCTCATACAAGCATACATGTTGGATTTCTCGTTGATCTATAGCTAGTTCTAATGCGGTTTGGAATGATGTCAAGGCACTGTTGATTTTACACTAGAGGAAAACAAACAATGATTTTAAATCATGCTCAGAAAAACATTTCCAAACAATATTTCCGTTACTTGCATCTGTATAGAAATAAAATAACAGTAGTAATAATAGTCAAACATCCCAAGCTGTTTCACAAAATTATAACCAAACAAAATACACCAAGTAATTTATGGAGATATTAAGTCAGACAACCAAAAGGTTGGTCAAAGAGTGAGTTTTAGAAATATAGAAAATAAGAGCAGGGGTAAGAGATAGCAAGAACTGCAGATGTTGGAGTCAGAGACAACAGCGTGGAGCTGGAGGAATACAACAGCCAGAAAGCATCAGACGAGCGGCAAGACCTTTTTTTTTTAAAAAAAAGCATCCCAGAATTCACATGGCTGGTGATAACTGCTTAGAGTCATGGGGTGTTACAGCACAGAAAGAACTCTTCAGATTATTGGCTTCACTCCAGTCATTCAGCAACTATCTATTCTAATCCCATTTCCCAGCACTTGGCCTGTAGATTTGTATGGTATAACTTTCAAGTATACATCTAAATATTTCTTAAATACTGTGATGGTTCCCACCTCTGCCACCTTTTCAGGCAATGAGTTCCAGATACCCACTATCCAGTGGGGGAATTTTTTTTTTTAAGATTCTAATTCTCTTGCCTCTTATCTTAAATCTATGATCCCTGGTTATTGACCCCTCTACTAAGGGGAGATTAACAAACGTACTTCCTTGCCTTGTTACTTCTCCCAAAATGCATCACCCTCACACTTTTCAGGAATAAACTCCATCTGCCACTGTTCCACATATCTGAGCAGCCTGTCTACATCACCCTGTAGCCCAAGGCTTTCCTCTTTGTTACTTACCACACCAGCAATTTTTAGATTATCTGCAAATTTACAGATCAAACTTCCTACATTTGCTTCTAGATCATCATGTACAATACAATAGAAGGGACCCATCATCAAACACTGCGGTACACATGGGCTTCCAATCACAAAAATACCCTTTGACCATTAGCCCCTGTTTCCTGCCTCTAAGACAATTTTGGATCAAATTTGCCAAATTGCCCTGGATCCCATGAGCTCTTACTTCTTGATGAGTCTTATCAGTCCTGACAAAGGGTTTCGGCCAGAAATGTTGACTTTCCATATTCTCGGATGCTGTCTGACCTGCTGTGCTTTTCCAGCTCCATATTTATTGGCCTGAGGTCTTATCAAAGTCTAATTGAAGTCCACATAATCTACATCAACTGCTCAATTCTCCCTATACAACTAGCTAGTCACCTCCTCAAACAATTCAGTCAAGTTTAATCAACATGATACCTCCTTGACAAAGCCATGCTGACTATCCTTCATTAATCCTTGCCTCTCCAACTGGAGCTTAATTCCGTCCCTCAGAATCTTTTCCAAGTTTTCACCCATCACTGATGTTAGAAATACTGGCTTATAGATCTCTAGTTTTTCCCTACCCTCCATGCTTTTGGATTTTTCTTTACCCATCAGTGTTTTTGTTTTTAAATACTCCCTCTTCACTTTCTTTTTCTTTAAGTAACCCACGAAGTTTCTATACACTTCTACGATTTCTCCTGTTTATAAGCCTTCAATATCTGGCATAAGCGTCCTTTCTTCTCCTGGATTTGTTGGTCCCACTCTTCATTTCTATAGGAAACTGTTGGCCTGCATGTCCACTATGTCCTTTTTGAATGACTCCCATTGCTCTAATGTAGGTTTTCCTGCAAGTAGTTAGTCTTAGTACAATTTGGCTGAGCTTGTCTTATATATTAAAATTACTTATTTTTATCATTAAATGTGGATATCCATTCAATGGAGAGTTGGTTGGGGAACTGTGCCAGCGAAGGTTGGGTGCCAATCAGATACAAGATTGGAGCATGTTAGGTAATTACTGAGGCAAGTTTGTTAAGATAGGGTGAGAAACCCATGCCCCACAGCAAGAAACCCTACAAGAAGCTCAACGCAACTTGCACTTAGACAAAAAAAAAAGTAAGATTCAGTCTTATTGGAATAGTGTGGGAATATGGCATTAAGGTAAATGATCACTTATGATCTAGAATGGTAGACCATGTTCAAGGTGTCAATGGCCTACTCCTGCTTATGTTCCTATATTCAGCAAGTCAGGTGGCATTTCTACAAACAGATCAAAAGTCAACACAATTCAACGACCTTTCACAGTTCCGAACCATTTAGGTTGAATGGCCTGTATCTGAGCTGTAAAATTCTTTGATGTTGACAGATCCCAATTGTGCCTGTCAACATATTCAATTGGTTAATAATCCAATCCTACTGGTACACTATAATACATTTTTGACACGGTTTGAAATAAATGACCAAAATATGACATCCTTGATGAATAATCAAAAAAGATGGTTGCACTGTTAAGTCATAACAATAAGTGTAAATCTGAAAGAGACCAGCCTTGGGTGAGGGGGGATAAGAGGGGGAAAGATGAAAATCATAAAACACAAATCTAGCTTCCAGATGGCACACTAGTTTCAATCCATCCAGCAAATACTAATAGATCTACCTTATCAACTGCTGTCAAGAAGATATGACAGAGGTGAATAAAGATGACTATTTCGGTGTCAGTAATTTTGAACAATGAGAAAGAAGCTAACTTGTTCTCCTTCAGGAAGCTTCAAAAGAAATCAAAAACTTCTAAAATTATATGAAGCTTATTAATGGTTAATCCAAACAAAACATTTACAATGGTGAAAGGTTCAAACCCAAGTTAAAATTAGAAAGTTTAGCAGAACTTCCTTTATTTTGTACAAAACATAAAATAGGCACAAAATAATTTACCAGCAAGGTATTGAAAATAAAGCAGGATAAAAAGATTTTTGAAGAAGGTATTGGTTAAATATCTGAGAACACAAAATGGCAATAAAATAATTGACAGGCATAATAACCACATTTTCCAACTGAACATTGAACGTCTTTTGTATTTATTCTTGCTTCTTCTTTTGGATTTCTGCTCAGCATAAACATTTTACACATATAAATATAAACAAAACTGTACCTCCAATCGTTGAATTCTCCCCTTGAAAAACAGAAACAAAGAGGAGTCTGGATAAATTGCTTCCTTTGTTTGTAGAATTTCTTTTGCTTCCCTCAACCCAGCTTGTGCATCCATACCATCCAAAGCAAAGAAAGGGCGCACTACTGTATGGTACCATAGCAAGGCTAATCTATAAGATAAAGCAGAATTTTATGATTCGTATGCATTTAAAATATTACTTTAAATGAGCTCAGAAGCAAGAGGGGTTACAGAGTGTTAGCAAAATAGGGACACAGCATACTTTATTGAAGGAACCAAGGCACACAAAGTTCAGCATGTTGAGTTTCAAGGGAGTAAGGCAAGGCTGGATGGCTCTACTTATAATGCTGAAAATATTACAAGAGTTAGGACTTAAAGGTGTGGATAGATGCGTAGAATTGTGACATTGTTGCCATTACAGAGGCCAAGGGAAAGGCAGAATTGGCAACTCAACATTCCAGGGAACAAGATCTTCAGGCAGGACAGGGGAGCATATAAAAGAGGGAGGAGGTGACGCATTATCAATTAAGGAGTCAGTTATTACAGTAAGAAGAGACTCTGTCTTGGAAGAGGTGTCAAATGAGGCTTTATGGGTAGAGTTTAGGAATAAAAAGTGGTAGTCACACTGTTTGGAGTGTATTATATATGCCCAAACAGTCAGCAGGCAATAGAGGAGCAGATATGTAGACAATTCACAAAAGGTGTATAAAGACCATAATAAAGGTAATTATATTAGGGATTTCAACTTCCCTAACATTAATGGGGATAGTTATAGTGTAAAGGGCTTAGAAGGCACAGAGTCTTTGAAGTGTATTCAGGAGAGCTCTTCATATCAACATGTAGAAGGTCCAACAGGAGACATTGCAGTGCTGGACCTAATTCTGGGAAACAAAGCTGTCAAGCGTTCAAGGTGACAGTCACAGAGCATTTTAGTGATAGTGACCATAAGATGTAGGAGCAGACTGAGGGCATTCGGCCCACTGCTTCTGCTGCAACATTTGATCATAGCTGATACGTTTCTAAATGCCATTCTCCTACCTTCTCCCCTTAACCCTTGATCCCATTATTAATCAAGAACTTAACTATTTCTAACTTAAATATACTCAATGACTTTACCTCCACAGCTCCCTGCAGAAATGCATGCTACAGATTAATTACTCACTGAATGAAGAAATTCCTTCTCATCTAAGTTCCAAAGGGTTGTCCCTTCACCTCAAGTCTGTGCCCTTGGGTCCTAATCTCATCGAATGGTGGGAACATCTTCTCCACGTCCACTCTATCCAGGCCTCTTAGTATTCTGTAAGTTTCAATCAGATCCCACCTCAATCATGTAAACTCCATTGACTACAGACTCAGAGTCCACAAATACTCCTCATATGAAAAGTCTTTCATCCCCAGGATCATTCTTGTGAACCTCCTCTACACCCCAAGGCCATCCATCCTTCCTTAGAAACAGGGTCTAAAACAGCTCACAATATCCCAAATGTGGTCTGACCAGTGCCTTACACAATTTCAGCAGTTCATCCCTGCTCTTATATTCTAGCCCTCTTGAAGCAAATGGTAATATTGCATTTGCTTTCCTAACTGTTAATAAAACCTGCAAATTAACCTTAAGAAAATCTTGAACTAGGACTCCCAAGTCCCTTTGTACTTCAGATTTATGAAGTCTTTCCCCATTTAGAAAATAGTCTACTCCTCTATTCTTCCAACCAAAGTGCATAAACTCACACTTTCCCCACACTGTATTCCATCTGCCACTTCTTTGCCCATTCTCCTAGCCTGTCAAAGTCCTTCTGCAGCCTCTCTGCTTCCTCAACGCTATTGTCTTTCTATCTATCTTTGAGTCATCTGCAAACTTATCAACCATGCTCTCAGTTCCTTCATCCAGATTGTTAATATATAATGCGAACAGTTGTGGTCCTAACAAAGGGTCTGTTTCCATGCTTTGGTATGATTCTTTGACTCTATAAAACTCTACTAGTCACTGACTGCCATCCTGAAAAAGACTCTTTCATCCCCACTCTCTGCCTTCTGCCCATCAGCCAATTCTTTATCCATGCCAGTATTTTGCCCCTAACACCATTAGCTCTTATTTTATTTAGCAATCTCCTGTGCAGCACCTTGTCAGAGACTCTCTGCAATCCAAACAGATCACATCCACTGGACCTCCTTTGTTTAACTTGCTCATTACCTTCTCAAAGAATTCTAACAGATTTGTCAGGCATGGTCTCTGTTTGACTCCACCCTATTTTACCATGCACTTCCAAGCACTCCACAATCTCATCTTTAATAAAGAACTCTAAAAACTTACCAATGACCGAGGTGAGGCTAACAGGCCTATAAGTTCCCAAGCCTGCCTCTCCTTTCTTTAACAGGGGTGTTACATTAGCCATTTTAGAGTTCTCTGACACTCCCCTCCTTGACTCTTGAAAGTGGAGTCACAGGTAGACAGGGTGCTGAAGAAGGCATTGGCATGCTGGCCTTCATTGATCAGTGCATTGAATACAGGAGTTGGGATATCATGTTGCAGCTGTACAGGACAGGAGGTGAGGCCACTTTTAGAATACTGAGTTTAGTTCTGGTCTCCCTGCTTTAGGAAGGATGTTGTTAAACCTGAAAGGGTTCAGAAAAGATTTACAAGCATGTTGCTGGGACTGAAGTGTTTGAGCAATGAGGCAGAATGGGATTTTGCTTTTTTCCCCTCTAGAGCGTTACAGCCTGAGAGGTGACCTTATAGAAGCTAATAAAATCATGAGGGGCATGGACAGGATGATCACACAATGTGGTTAATACTTAACTGCCCTCTGGGTAATTGGGGATGGGCAAGAAATGCTCGTCCAGCCAGCGATGCCCACACTCTGCGAATGAATAAAACATTGCGTCGGAAGGGGTGCAGAGGACATTCAACAGAAAGCATCTGTTCATCTTATTGAAGGGTGAATAATGACGGTGTTGGGAATCTGAAATGCATTGTCAGGAAGGCTAGATAAGGCAGGAAACCTCACCATCTTGAAAAATCACTTGAAATGTCATAATATTCAATGTAATGGTCCAAGGGCTGGAAAACAGGAATAGTATAGATTTGGATTGTTCTTGTTGGTGCAGACTCAACGGCCCAAAGGACCTCTTCTGTACTATATGATTCTATAATAGTAGTTGTTCTCAGTGAAAGGACTGCTTTATACAAACAAGTCCATTACACTTGGACGATTGCTGGTCAATATACTGTATGGAAAATCTGAACATTACAGAAAATCTGAAATCTTCTGGGGTGGTGATAGCCAAGTTGTATTATCACTGGACTATTAATCCAGAGACCCAGGAAACATTCTGGGGACCTGGGTTTGAATCCCGCCACAGCAGATGGTGGAACTTGAATTCAATAAAGAAAAATCTGTAATTAAGAATCTAGAATGACCATGAATCTATTGGCAATGGTTGGAAAAAGCAATCTGGTTCACTGAAGTCCTTCAGGGAAGGAAACTGCCATTAGTTGGGTTAGTAAATTTGCGGATGACACCAAAGTCGGTGGAGTTGTGGATAGTGCGGAAGGATGTTGCAGGTTACAGAGGGACATAGATAAGCTGCAGAGCTGGGCTGAGAGGTGGCAAATGGAGTTTAATGCGGAAAAGTGTGAGGTGATTCACTTTGGAAGGAGTAACAGGAATACAGAGTACTGGGCTAATGGTAAGATTCTTGGTAGTGTGGATGAGCAGAAAGATCTCGGTGTCCACGTGCATAGATCATTGAAAGTTGCCACCCAGGTTGATAGCGTTGTTAAGAAGGCGTACGGTGTGTTAGGTTTTATTGGTAGAGGGATTGAGTTTCGGAGCCATGAGGTCATGTTGCAGCTATACAAAACTCTGGTGCGGCCGCACTTGGAGTATTGCGTACAGTTCTGGTCACCGCATTATAGGAAGGATGTGGAAGCATTGGAAAGGGTGCAGAGGAGATTTACCAGGATGTTGCCTGGTATGGAGGGAAGGGCTTATGAGGAAAGGCTGAGGGACTTGAGGCTGTTTTCGTTAGAGAGAAGAAGGTTAAGAGGTGACTTTAAAATAGAGACATACAAGATGATCAGAGGATTAGATAGCTTGGACAGTGGGAGCCTTTTTCCTCAGATCATGGTGGCTAGCACGAGGGGACACAGCTTTAAATTGAGGGGTGATAGATATAGGACAGATGTCAGAGGTAGGTTCTTTACTCAGAGTAGTAAGGGCGTGGAATGCCCTGCCTGCAAAAGTAGTAGACTCGCCAACTTTAAGGGCATTTAAATGGTCATTGGATAAACATATGGATGATAATGCAATAGTTTAGGTTAGATGGGCTTCAGATTGGTTTCACAGGTCGGCGCAACATCGAGGGCCGAAGGGCCTGTACTGCGCCGTAATGTTCTATGTTCTATGTTCTGTGTTCTATTCTCATTTAGTCTTGCACACATGCAACTCCAGACCAACAGCAATGTTGTTGACTCTTAATTGCCCTCTGGCATGGGCAATAAATGCTGGCCTAGTCTGCCACGCCCTCATCTCATGAACAAATAAAAGAAGGTAGGATGTTTGAGTGAATAATGAACTGTTTCATCTAACATGCTACGTTTTAAATTTCCCAACCAGAGCAAACAGCAACACACTGCCCACCCTGTCAAGGCCCTTCATAATCTCATTCTTAATTCAATTGTCCTGCTCATTCATCTAAACTCGAGAATACAGTTCCAGTTTACCCAATCTCTCATCACAAGATAAACCTCTCATCCAAGGACCAGTTTAGTAAACCCTCACTGCATGGCCTCCAAGGCAAGTATATCTTTTTATGGACAGCAAAACTGCAGCATTCCACATATTGTCACTAGAATCCTATCAAATTGTTGCAAGGTTTCATAGCAACGTAACAACAGGAGTAGGCCATTCACAGCCCTTCTGGCCTGTTACACTATTCATGGAGATCATGGCTGACCTGTGGCCCATTTCCATATACCTACCTTTGGCCTGTGTTCCTTAATATCCTGACACAGTTCATTACCTCCTCCAAGAACTTGAATAAATCTATCAGGCATGATTTCTCCTTCATGAAGCCATGCCGACTCTGATTATATTGTGTAATTCTAAACACTCTGCTAGTACATCCTTTATAATGAATTCTAGCATTTTG